ATAGATAGATAGATAGATAGATAGATAGATAGATAGATAGATAGATAGATAGATAGATAAGTAAATAAATAAATAAAATCGTCTAGAGCCTTAGGCACCACCCAGTATTCATTGGAGAGGTGGGGTAATGGCGCCATATCCTTTGGCCTCAACATGGAATCACTCAGGCCTTCCCTGGGTCTCTGAGTCCTGATGGGAAAGACATGAAGTCCAGGCCCGCAGCCGCCAGCACTGGTGCAGGGACAGATGTGCTATGATGGGTAGTCCCAGAGAGTATCCTGAAAAACCGCCATGATTCAACAAGGGACTAAATCCTCCTCAGCTCTCCCCAGCAGCGCCCTCTACTGTCAGACAGAGCACATTACAGTTCCCTCAGGGCGTGTGACTCACTCCACTGTCTGTTACTTTAGGCCACAGCTCTGGGAAGAGAGGTGAAGGGTGAGGACTGTGAAGGCAACTAGGCAGACCCAGGACTGTTGCGGACAGCATCTTCAGGAGCAGTTACCTGCATTTCTAGAACATGTTTAAGAGGTGGTGCGGGAGGACTGGCCTCTCCCTCAGGCAGGGGAATATCAGCTCTGGTAATTTCCTGCACCAGGTACACTGTGAAAGAAAGCCACACAGTCAGACAGTTTCACGGTGACCCTCAGCAATCAGAACCCTGGCAGCCCCAACCTGCTGACTGCAGATCCTGCCTGTCCCTGTCACTTTCTGCAATTTCTTCCAGAGAGACAGGCACACACTGGCTAGAGCTCCCCAGCTCCTTTCCTTCCTAAAACCCAGGTTAAAACATGTTAGGGAAGGTTGGGTGATGGTGGTGCACACCTTTAATCCCAACACTTGGGAGGCAGAGACAGGAAGATCTCTGTGAGTTCTAGGCCAGCTTGGTCTACAGTGGGAGTTCCAGAAAAAACTCTAAAACTACAGAGAAACCCTGCCTTGGAAAAACAAAAACAAAAACAAAAAACAACCCACACATTTGGGAGTTGGGCATACACCTTTAATCCTAACACTCAGGAGTTAGGCAGGCAGATCTCTTGAGTTTGAGGCTAATCTAGTCTATAGAGTAAGTTCCAGGACAGCCAAGGCTACATAGAGAAACTCTATCAAAAAACACAAAACAAAACAAAAAAGAAACATGTTTTGGGAAGACTGGGAACACACTGTAGACGCAGATCTGTACCCCGACCAGAGGCAGCCTGTTGGCATTTCCTACAGGGTCCTCAGAGAGAACCTGGCAGCCAAAGTCAGAGCAGAGCCAGGCTCCCCTGAAAGGAACCAGGTGGCTCTCTGCTCTGCTTTCAGAAGCCTCATTCCACACAAGTGACCTGTCCAGTGACTCTTATATGAGGACTATAATGTCACTCCACCACATAATCAAATAGTATGCAAATAACTAGCACCTTAAGCAAAAGATTTCACAAGACTAGAAGTTACTGTCAACATTAAGGTTGGAAGTTGGACATAATGGCACACGTGTTTAATTTAATCAGGATTCAGGAGGCAATTCAGGTAAGCTGATCTCTGAGTTAGAGGACAGCCTGATCTACACAGAGAGATCCACGACAGCCAGGGCTACACAGAGAAACCTTGTCTTGAAAAAACAAAAAGGTCTTACATTAGAGCTAGAGAGGTGGCTCAGTGCACCGCTCTTGCAGAGGACCCGGGTGGGTTCCCAGCAGCCACGCTAGGCAGCTCGCACCTGTACCTCCAGGTCCAGAAGATCTGATGCCATCTTCCGGCTTCCATGGGCACTGTTCTTATATGAACATACCCACAAATTGACACATGATTAAAAATAATAAATCTTTTTAAAAATATGTTATTGTTAATATTAAAAACCCTTAACTTGTGCTCGCTTCGACAGCACATATACTAAAATTAGAACGATACAGAGAAGATTAACATGGCCCCTGCACAAGCATTCCAAAAAAAAAACAAAAACAAAAACAAAAAAAACCCTTAACTTAAAAAGGTCTAGTGTTGCCAGGTAGTAGTAGTGCACGCCTTTAATCCCAAACACTCCAGAGGCCGAGGTAGAAGGATCTCTGTGAGCTCAAGGCCAGCCTGGTCTATAAGAGCTAGTTCTAGGATAGTTAGGGCTGTTACACAGAGAAACCCTGTCTTGAAAAACTAAAAAAAGTTCAAGTGTTGGCTGGAGAGATGGCTCAGCACTCAACAGCACCGGCTGCTCTTTCAGAAGACCTAGATTCAATCCTCAGCTCCCACACTAGGCAGCTCACAACCACCTGTTATTGCAATTCTAGGGGATACAACACACCTCTGACCTCCAAAGGATTCTGCACTCATGGACACACATAATTGAAAACAATAAAAATATGTTGGACAGGGTGGCACATGGCTTTACTTCCAATACTTGGGAGGCAGAGGTAGGCAGATCACTATGAGTTTGAGGTCAGCCTGATCTACAAAGTGAATTCCAGGGCAGTCAGGGCTGTTATACAAAGAAGCCCTGTCTCAAAAAGTCAAATTAATAATAATAAATCTTAAAAACATACTGAGTGCGAGGCCAACCTGGGCTACATGAGACTCTGATCCACCCCACTCACAAAAAAAGAAAAAAAAAAAGCAAAAAGGCAAGGAAGAAAGGAAGAAAAAAAGAGGAAAAAAAATCTCTAATTAAGGGGAATGCCTAGCTGAGGAGCTATTAGCAACTGACAGCAACTGGGGTACGCAGATCCACTTAACTCAGCGGGCTATGGTACCTGTCAGTCACCCATGTCCACGAACACAAGGGCAGTGCTAGGTGGACTTGGTTAGTCATCAAAGATAAACAGGACAAGAAGTTGGGAGAGGGAAGTGTTCAGGGGAATAGGGAAGAGCAGTTGAGGAAGAGATGGGGTGAATATGGTCAAATGAACGGTATGAAATTTTCAATGAATAAAAAAAATACAATTCCTTCGGGGCTCACACCTTTAAACCCAGTACTCAGGAGGCAGAGGCAGGAGAATCTCTATGAGTTTGAGGCCAGCCTGGTCTACAGAGCAAGTTCCAGGACAAGCTCTAAAGCTACAATGAAACCTTGTCTTGAAAAACGTAGTTTTAAAGAAAAAAAAAAAGTGGAGAATCTATTAACGAGAGAAATCATCCCAAAAGTCAGACTCTCCTGCAGCCAGACTACTTTGGGGTAACTCTTGCAGGTTTTAGAGGTGAGGGAAACACCGAGGACTACTGAGTTCCAACACTTAAGCAGAGAACACCAACCTAGCCCAGTCACAAAGGGAGCCTGCAAAGACACCAAGTGATATCAGGGCAGCTATCAGCTATTTCCTGCATTTCTTATTGCCAAATAAGGTCTTAAATTAAGTAATATTTTATTTTATTACATATATATATATATATATATATATATATATATAGAGAGAGAGAGAGAGAGAGAGAGAGAGAGAGAGAGAGAGAGAGAGTTTTTCACTTATAAGAAAAAACTATACAGGATTGGCTGATTAACCATGGCACATCAATATCAGGAAATACTACTCTGCTGCCATCAAATGATGAGCCTCAGTTTATACTAAACAAGAGGGATGTCACAGCAAGGACCACTACATGAGAGACAAGGCCAACAGCAGTCATGTAACAAGTATATGGAACAAGTGAAAAAATAAGATACACTTGTAACAGTCCCTACCTGTGAATTACAGGAAAGTGAACAACCTGCCCCTCCCTTTTCTTTTTCTTTCTTTCTTGTTTGTTTTTTTAAGACAGGGTTTCTCTGTGTAGCCTGGCTGTCCTAGTATTGTTCTGAGACCAGGCTGGCCTTGAATTCACAGATCCACCTGCATCTGCCTCCTGAGTGCTGGGATTAAAGGTGTGTGCCAATACCACCCCAGCTTGTCTATAGTTTTCTAAAAGAGACAGATAAGTTTATATTAAACTAAGTATTAGGATTATTAAAATGGAAGACAAACTTACCCAATATTCTTTCCAGCTCTTCACACCTCTTCACCTCGCCAACAAATTTTCTTTGAAAAGAACTTACATTTTGGTTGAGCTGAGAAAAGGAAGAAAATTTTGTTTTAAGCTCATAAAATTTTAAATTTGTTTTTGTCAATCTAATTATTTACATTTTTGATGGTAGGATCAAATGCAGGACTGGATAAATTAAATTTTGTTTATATTTATCTAGTCATTTAAAATGTGTTGGTGTTGGGGTCATACTCTGCCACTGAGCTAAGACAGGCTCTGTTGAGGGAAAGTATTACTGCCAAAGGGTTGGGAGAGTCCACCGTCGTCAGCCACTGACAGAGAACTAACAGGCCTTTCCTGGACAGCAAGTGAGGCCTGAATAATAGCCCTTGGCTCAGAAGTAATCCAGGAAGAAACATAGATTTAAAGAAAAATCATGAATATGGATACTAAACTCAGAGGAAATCTACACCAACATCCAACAATAGGAAATTGGTGGGTGACTAGGTCAGTTGGTGAGCACCCACCCAGCACCCAGAGGCACATAAACACAAAGCTGGGTGCGGTGGCACACCCTATAATTTCAGCACCTGGGGGGTAGGGCAGGAGGAGCAGAAGTTCAAGGTCATCCCCAACTATATTTGGAGTTCAAGACCCTGCCTCAAAATAAATAAGTAAATAAATAAGCAGATTAAAATGAGTCAGAAGTTAACATCTTAACTTCTTCCTAAATCACACACAGTAATTTTTTTTTTTTTTGGTTTTTCAAGACAGGGTTTCTCAGTAGCTATGAAGCCAGTCCTGGAACTAGCTCTTGTAGCCCAGGCTGGCCTCGAATTCACAGAGATTCACCTGCCTCTGCCTCCCGAGGACTGGGATTAAAGGTGTGTGTCACCACTGTCCAGCTACTTTACTCTTGGCAATAACAACACTATCTTACTTTTCTTTTCTTTCTTTTTTCATATATATATATATTTTTCATATATATATATATATATATGTTCTAAATAGGGTTTCTCTGTGTAGCCCTTGTTGTCCTGGAACTCATTTTGTAGGTCACGCTGGCCTCGAACTCACAAATATGCCTGCCTCTGCCTCCCGAGTGCTGGGACTAAAGGTGTGCACCACCATGCCCAGCTAATATCCTACTTTTCTAATAATCATTTACAAGGACAGGCATTTAGGGCACAAGCTGCATCTGTATGGATACAGAATTTGCACTGGGCTCCACTAGACTTGGTGTGAAACTGCTCCCCTCTTGTTGGGGATTCCCAACCACTTTTAAAGCGTTAATCAGAAGGATCAAAATTGGAGGTCACTTCTCCATCTCATTCCCTTTCACTTCTGGAGGTCACGCCCACCCAGACGACTCAGCCTCGGTGGCTGCTGTGGAACTGAGAACAGGAACCTGGAGCCAGGGACCAGCCCTGCCTGAAGCTCCACTTGCCAGTTTCCTTGGCAGTGGCTTAATTCTCAACCCAACAGCAGCTCTTCTGTAAAGAGGTGTGCTCCTGCCACAAGGCTACAAACACCTACCAGCAGCAGCAGCAGCTTAGACAGTCACTGTTTTCTATTGAGTGGGTTACCAAATGTTTTATTTGGGGGGGGGTGTAACTTAAGGTCGCAGTTACCTTAATTCAAAGCTAATGATGTAGAAGTACATTCCAACAGACCCCTTTGTTTGATCTTTACGATTTATTTTATTATTTCTGTGTGTCAGGGTGAGGGCTCATGAGTACAGTTGCCTGAGGAATCCAAAGGAGCTGGAGCTACAGACAGCTCCGTGAACCTCCTGGTATGGGTGCTGGGAACTGAACTCTGGACCTCTCCAAGAGCCTAAGGGCTCTTAATTGCTGAGCCATCCCCCTGCCTCCTTTTTCGTTTTATCGAGATAGCTCCCTATAGAGCTAGCCTTGAACCCTCCATCCCCCTGCCTCAGCCTCTAGATCCTGTCTATATGACTGGCACTGAACCCAGAAGAGCAGGCAGGAGGCCAAGCTACAGCACTCACTGCCTTTCCAGTCCCGGCAACCACAGGGCCAGGAAGAAAGCAGTCCTCACTGTAAAGATGGAACTGAGCCCACCTGTCTCTTCAGGGCCACAGCCCCTCTTTGTCCAGATCTCCCCACTTCAGTCACTATGAAAAACCTTCAGTGCCCCACCCCTCCAAGGGTGACAAGCAGAAAGGCCTGAGTAAGTCAAAAAGGGTTGGTGATCCCACCCCATAAATGAGCATGGGACCCGTCACAAGCTCGAACATCAATGCCCAAGCTTTCAGGCACCTGACACCGAGCAGCACTGAAGGCTCAGCAAAGACCGGCTGCACTCTCTCTCCCTTTAAAAGGATCCCGAGTCCAGCGGGGAGCTCACGCACGGCACTCAGTGGACCCTGAAGCTCTGAGCTGGTTACAGGGCTTGCTGGGCCCCTGAGATTGAAGCGTGATAAACACCTTGGCCTGAGTCCTAACAGGATGGAGCAAATTAGACCTGATATAAAATCCTGTTTCCCTTGTGACTGCTGCCTCGATCTTTCTGGTGCCACTCACAGTACCACGCCCTACCTGTCAGGTACGAAGACCAAGGACGGTAGTCCAAGTGGCTCTGGGACCCAGGAAGAGCACCACACCTTGCCTGTGCCCTCGCCTGTCACACAGGAGTCCCCATGATGATGTAAGAGGCACCTATATCAGATCATGGCAGTATGGACCCATCAGAAAGATACAGAGAAATGGTCAGAAGCCCAAACTGGTAGGGTTCAATGGTTCAATTTCATTAGTAGGTATTGGGGGGGGGGGGCTGTTCGGCAGCCTCTGTGCACCGTTCTCCTCCATGACACTAATCATCATAGCTCATGATCAGTGTTTACCCAGCGTCCTCCCAGACTCAACTTCAGGAGCACAGGGCTTTCATCTGCTTTGCTCAGAGTCTCCAAGGCCAGAAGTTTCTTCATAAAAGCTTATGTATTCATCCGACATTGTTTATTAATGCCACTAAATGCCCGGGCCCGTGCCACTCGTGGGAAATGAGGAAAGAACAAGCCGGGCAAGGACAGGTCGGAGGTTGATGGTGCACGGAGGCTGAACACAAGCCGATGGCTGTGTTGACAAGTGTGTTACTACAGTCGCAGAGACAGCCTCCATTCCACACGTACTGGGACCCAGGTCCTCGTCACTTGTCAACAATGCCGGTGCATCATCACAACCTGTCACACTTCCCCATCCCTCTTCCAGCCTCTCTTATCCCACCTATTCCTGTTCAGAGGGGCCCCTCCTTAGCTACCCAGCTAAACCACCTCTGGGTACCGTCCTCCTCCACATCTTCCCACTGCCAGTTCCTGTTCCGTTCCGATCTCAGCTCAAAGACCACCTCCTCAGAGGGGTCTTCCTTGACTACTCTGCAAAGCCATCTCCAAGATCCTCTTCTTTCCCCGTTGACAGCTCCTGCCCCGTTCGGGTCTCGACTCAAAGGCCACCTCCTCAGAAAGGCCTTCCTTCGCCAGCCTGCAAAGCCACCTCCCGGCCCGGGTCTCCACGACGTCAGCCGACTTTGCCGGCGCCCAGTCCTGGGCTGCACAGGCACGCAGGCCGCGGGACACTCACGTCTCGGAACTGCACCAGGCCCTTCTCGCCCAGCGCGCTCAGACACTCGTATGCGGTGCCCGACTGCAGGAAGAGCTGCGCCAGGCACATGCTCTCGCTGCGGAACAGGGAGCCCATGGCGGCGCCGCCTCGCTCAGCCGCCGCGGCCCGCGCACCGGCACCATGGGGCTCCGCACCGCTGCCA